AGGTTGGGTTAGGGATCAGCTGACCTTACGACGCGCCGTTTCCTGATAGCATGATATTTTCACCAAGAGTAGCCGTTAAAGTACAGGGATGTCATATGATGTGACAAACTGTTCATCAACAAAGCAGGGGAGGTTACAGAATGCCACGGGGTTTGTTGATACCTTAGCAATATAAATTGCCACCAAGGAACGTTCAAAGCAAGGTCCTAGACTAGAATTGGTAAGTTGTCCGGTCCCAAAATGCCATCTGAACCGGACAACCAGTCATCAAACAGCTCGAAAAGGACAAATTGCGGCTGATACCTAGTTGAGACTGAACAAAATCATCTTGAAGCTGGTCCCATTCCACAGAAATGGAAGATCGTATCAGAAAAAAATCAAGCCAGTAAACCAGCAAATGGTTTTGCTTCTCCAACCGTTAGTGTACGTTCCCATGGTTGGCAGATGTTGGGAGGTATATTCACAATTTGCCTCCAGACAAAGCATACCGCCATGACTTTCACATCGAATGTTGGCACTGCTAAAACCTTTTTTGTTGCAGTAGCTCAGTAGCTGTTTCCGTATCTTCGAAGCTGTTCAACCCATGCAAATACGAAGGATATACATAGGATATACATACACAGGATACATAGGATACATATATCTGGTTATATCTGGGCTTAATAATTTGGCCATTTTGGGGATTGCCCATACTGTACCTCATTCCTAATGACGTCCCTAGGTAAGGTCATCAACACTTGTTCCGATAATCCCTATGATTTATATCATTGTATTCATCGTACAGCCAATTTTTCATGGCTAAATCAATATGAATGGTCAATGAAACATTGGTATTTTGATGTATTTCGTTTCTTACATCCAATCATTGTACAATATGAATGGTCAATGAAAAATTGGCTGGTCAATATCACTTGTGTTTCTGCATCCAATTTTTCTGGGTCAAATCACGATGGGCTGCCGCCTGCATCAACGCTTCGTGTTCCTGCCGGATCACAGGAATTTCATGTCACCTCCCCACGGTGGAGATTCACCCAAAACATGGTTGATGCTTATAGAATCAATGGCCTATGTAAGGCCATGTAAGGCCTATGTAAGGCCTATGTTTACGGGAATATCCCCACAAAATATGGTCTTATATGGTACAGTACCTCCATTTTAGGATCCTGGAATTCCCATTGATAGAACCCCCTATTGAAGCATTGTTTCTAAGTTTACTCTATGATATTCTTGACTTATTATTTCCGGGGAAAAACTGCCTTGGGGGTGCACCCGAAATATTGAGATTAGAAAGTGGATAATACCCACCCCATATATATATACATATTTATAATATATATACTATAGGGTATATCATGGTACATCACATATATTACTGTACTATACGGATCGTACCTGGTCATCCGCCAAGGAAAACCTTTTTTGGCCCACCCCCCCCCAATGGCTAACGGATTGGTCCCAAATCATACCCCAGTCGTACTTCCTCAGAAAGGGGTCCAATAGTAATTATATAGCCGCCAAAAAACATCAGTTTGGCCTTGTTATGAACAAACTTAAGCTTTTCTCGGAACATCAACATCTTGATAAAATCAACGTCAATCACCCATAAGACATCCATAAAACATCAATAAACCACCATAAATCACATTGAAATCGCCATGTCGCCGTTGATTTTTCAACTGGCCGCACCTTCGAGACCCGGTTGGGCCGTATGAAGCCGGTCGGCTCCACATGGCTCCTGGAGACGCTGCTTGGTGCAACGGCGGTCCGGCAGATGTTTGGGATGTTGCGGGACGAGGTAACCAAGAAATACTGGTTGATTACTTACAGTAATAGGATGGGATTAATATTTAGTTAACCAACAATACTGGTTAATATTAGTTAATAGTGATTGTCCAACAAATCATCCAAATTTTGAAGGGATTTTCAGTGAAATAAACCCCCATTTCAGTTACTGGTTGGTGGTTTTAACCATCTTGAAACATATGAGTTCGTCAATGGGAAGGATTATCCCTTATGGAAAATACAAAATGTTGGAAAGCACCAACCAGAATAACGTGGGATTACTTACAATAATAGGTAATTGGTGTTGGACAATAGTAGGGGAGTATTCTAGTTTTTGTGTTTCTAGTATTCCGGTGACTATCCAACAAGCATTGGTATTATACTAATATTCTATACTAGTTGGCAATAATCAAAACACATTAAAATTCTAAATTGGATAGCCACTGAAATAACTAGCAATATAGGTAAGTAATATGCCAAGAAGAATGTTGATAAATGCCAGTGCAAAATGATGGTTTCATGGCACTTCATAGAAGACTTAGTGGGACCAATTGTGGGGATTAATAAGGAAACCAACTATTCTTTATAGCCATCAGCACATAGAAATAATATAGATTAACCATCAGTAAGTGGTGGGCCAATGGTGGCTTAATCATGTATATATGATATATGCTGCATATATATATATATCGTATACATATAGATACATATCGGGTTATATCCGCAATCAACAACGGCAATGGTAAGATCTCTTTAGCCTTTCAGGAAAGTGTCCAGACCCAAACAAAAACAGTCCCCAATAGAGGGTTATATACTAGTTAGTGTTAGTTTCCATGACACATGGGTGGGATCTCAACCATCTGGGTGAACTGGGTGAATCTTCTGTTCCCAGTTGACACTGAAGCCACGAAGGCAGGTCCTGGGCGACTGCACCATATCCTTGGGCTGAAGTGAAGGGGGCCGTTAAAACACAAATCTTCCCAGTAGATGCCCCAAATGGATCCAAATGGTGGATTAGCCTCTGGTAATCAGTCACATTGCTTTAAAAATCGTCCCTTCCATTTGGTTCCGGGATTTCCCAGCCATGTTTGATGACACTGGAGGGTGCTGGCTTGGGAAAATCACCATGTTCAAAAGGTAAATCATCAATAAGCATTTAAAAATTACTATACATGATTACAAATGTGCAATTTTCATCAATTTCCCATAGCAAACTGTGAAATGACCAAAGGCAAACCAATGACGGGAAAATCAACATCATCAGACATCTGGGAAAATTATATACTGAAATAAGTCTAACAATTAGTTAATATACTCTTGGGATAGTTCAACCTTAAATCCTAACCATCATTCCATATCATTCCAGTAATTAGATAATAACTCTAATAGATCTATTGCAATTATCTTGGGATAGTTCCCCCAAATCATAAAAATCCTTTGGATTCATTTGGAGGTTTCGGAAAAAAAGGGGTGGTGCCCCCAAAACCATTTTCATAGGGATTTTCCATGAAATAAACCCCCATTTCGGTTACCCTCTGGTAATTTGTCACATAGCTATTGAACATGACCTATAGAAATAGTTGCTTTACCCAGCTATAAAATGGTGGATCTTTCCATAGTTACCGTTAGTGTACCAGAGGGTACTTAGATGGGCCATGGAGTTAGTTAACTAGTTGGTAAATGGGTTATAATTGGGATATAGGATGAGGTTATATCCCCAGTTACTAACCAGTTAGCTAATCCCATGGCCCATCTAAGTAGGTTTGATCCCAGTCTCGATGGGTTTGATGGTCTTGTCCGTGATCAATGCCGTGGGCGACAGGGCCGTGGGACTCTGCGCCATGGCTCCAACTGGAGCCCGCCGCTGGAACTTGAGCTGCGGAGCTGCCGGGGGATGCGTTTCGAGAAGCCCAAGAAAAACCATCAGAAAACCCATCAAAACCCACAGAGGGTGATCATGATCATCTGAACAAATGCTAGTATAACCATGTAAAACGCTTCCGAATACTACAGGATGGTGCCTCCCCAGTTATTATGTTTGTATATGTTTGTTGATTAATAATCCCCTTTAACTACCTTTAACAATAGTTATATCATCCCCCCCTTAGCCTTGCTGGACTTATTTGCACCAACTTAGCCAACAAACTGGGGCCCCATCCTGCAGGCCAATCATTAGTACCCTGGGGTGATGTGGCAAAGCCATGGCATTATGACTATAGTGACATATAGTGACCATGTGTATTTCAAATTCTTTGTTGTTACATGTTGTTACCTGGAATCAGAGTCATACCTCCAAATTTGAAAGATCATTATAAACGTCTTGTGTTTACTTGTTTTTCCTTGTCGTTCTTACCTGGAATGAAGCCCAATCACTGCGATTACTGCCAGTCAAATATCCAAGTTTGTTGTTCATACCTTCATTCTTGGGAGTTTTGGAGCCCCCTTTGATCGCTTGCCTAATTCTTGATATTGCTTAAACATGATCATTCAATCATTCAACTCTTCCTGGGTCAAACCCCTCATCAACCCCGACAATCAGCCAGAATCTTCTCAGCCACAACAATATCAATATTCCATTAGTATCGTTCCAATGGTTGGGTTCAACCAAACATGGAAGATTACCGGCAAAGTAGAAATCGGATGAAATCGGTCCAACAAGCTTGCTTTGCAAAACCATGAAAAGGTTGGCACTAGGAAACGAAGGGAAACATCCGTTCCCCCAAATGTGTGATGGATTTTGGTTTATTTTTGCTGCTCATCAATTCTAGGCAACACATTATTATTCCAAGATCTGAAGTGAACCAAATAAAACAAATTTTGGGGTGGTGCCCGTGCATGATCGTTTATGGGTGTTGTTCAAAGCCTGCCCAAATACGTACTCCTCCTGACAAATTGCTCTTGACTCTTGACTCTTGCTTCATCCCAGAATGGGTTTCACACCCCCGACCACAAATAGTAGTAGCCTCTGGTCATTTGTCACATAGCCATGGAAGCCATGACCCAAATGACCCAAATCGAAATAGATGGTTTACCTAGCTATTAGAGATGGTGGAACTTTCCATGGCGAACTGTGAATGTCATAACCAGGTGTTATTTAATCCTTATCCCGATGTTGAAACCCTCCGACCAGAACAGAAACCTCCAAGAAGCGGAGGAACTCCCATGAAACCCAGCAACAAAAAAAACTTCTCACGGCTCCAAGACATGCCAGGGATCACCGCTCAGGGACCTGAAAGGCACGTTGCAGTAACATGTCCGGAATGGCCCAGTGTTCATCTTGAAACCCGCTAAGTCAAGATCCATAAGATCCTTTGTAAGGCTGGCATAGGATCCTCGCATTTGAAGCCCAAACATAGAAACAACAAAAAAGAGCCACATTAACCTACCTAGACAAGAATGGAGCCTCTGGACAGATTTTGGCTCATGCTGTGCAAGTTTGTTCTTGAAGGCTTCCCAAGCAAAACATCTATGCCCATTGGAGCCTGGAAGGTACCAGGCATGCTCCCCTGGATTCATGCGGAAAAAAAACACCATGTTCCATTCACGGTTGCATCAACTGTACAGGTGGTTGATAACTTACCAACCAAAAACATGTCATGGGGATTTCACCACCGAAGGTGACCCTTTGGAAAGATAGTTACGAAAAAAAAGACCCCGCCAAGGCTGCCCACGCCTTCTAGACATCTCATCCAGCAACATCTGCAACGCCTGCAACATCAAATGGCACTGGGAGAGTCGTTCTTCAAAGAATGCACAGGAACAACAGGGGCAACATGAGACCCATGCTGATCATGTTGGCATGCTTCTTAAACCGTCAGTCCGAAACTAAACCAATGTATTGACATGGTAGTCTGGCCAAACTACAAGTGCCCAACCTGAAATAAGGCAATTTGAGGATGGTTCCCTGACGAACCATCATTGACGGAGAAGAGTGACGCGGTTTAGAGTTCACACAAATCGTATGTAGATACAGTGGGTACACAAAAATAGCACGTTGGATACATGCCCTCAAGCTTCAAACATGGTATGTATCCAATAGGCAAAGCATCGTCCAAACCAAGTTTCCTACAAAACATGATGAACAAAAACAAGTTTCATATCAATCATCAAATTTGAGGTACCAATGAACAAAACCCCTAGGTCTCAACATCATCAAGCAGGGTTCCTGCATGTTCCTGCATGTTCCTGATATTTCTTCTGTAAAAATCACCTTCCTGGTGGGTGAACTAGTATTTCAACAATATTCACGTGACAACAAATCATGATATATATATATATATATATTATTATATATATATTGGAATATGTGGAACATATATGGAAAACATAATATTACACATTAATATTATCAATGACATATGAAGAATATATGAATTATCATGAATCCCGCAAAGATCAAAGCTGCCAGGCATCCGGGACGCGGAGGGCCTGTCTTAGGCATCCGAGGACGGAGGTCATGCAGGTCTCATCCAGGAAATTGTGGGACACAGCAATACCTTTGTCGAACCCGAAATCCCTGTGAAAAATCAAGGTTTTATTGGAACATCATGGAAAAAGATGGGAACATATGGACAAAAATCAGGAATTATGGGAACATTCACATACTAAATGGGAGTTTCAATAGGTAAAGCTTCTATAAATTGTGGCTTTTCCAGAAAGCCATGTTTGATTACCTGACAGAAGAATGAAATCACAAAATCTTCACATACATAGATGGCGCGGATGTTGTGGAATGGATGGGCTTACAGTGACAATTTTGCTATGACAACTATGAAATACAAGGGTGACCCGTAAAGTCACATAAGGAAACAAACATCCATTGCCTATCTGTTTGGTGGCATTAAAAAAAAACACTTACGAATCAGGAATGGAATTGTGCTACCAGAATGATGGATTGAATAGCTTCAGAACGTTTCAACAAACCATGAATGCAACCCAAACTGGTCTAAATTTGCCTTGAATGAATCAGCTTTGAACACTGCTCAGTCAAGGCACTGATTCCTTTGCCCACGTTCTTGACTCCATGCCTGGAGACTGTCACTGCTAAGGGGGTCCTGCAAGATCTGTAACTTCACTCAAGGCAACGCTGGACAGCGTTGCAGGGGAGCTTTGCAACTTACAACATGCCAGGAGGGCTGGTCACTCTTTAAAGTTCTAGAACCATGGAAAGGTCACCTCCAGCCAATTTGTAGGTAAGGGTAAGACCTCAGCAATTTTTGTTGAATTTTTAAGCTAAGCCCCATCAATCCCTATGAATGGGGCTGAGCACCCGTTGCGGCCCCATGGGGAATGCCCTTAAGCCAACAGCGGCAGTCCCAGTGGCAAAATACCCGAAGGGATAAAGACCAGCTCGCCCTCGCACAAGTTGCCACACCAAGCCTCTCACGTCTCAGCGCAGGGTATCGGAGGACACGACACAGTGACCCTGTTCTGAGGAAATATGCTTGGTATCTGGCCGCCGTTACTGTATTCCAAGAAAATACATCCCTATCGTTGGGTATTGTCCCGTACAGACCATGGGATTTTCCACATTTGATGTCGACTAACATGTCTTGCCTGCCTGATGCCGAACATTCAAACGCTTCAGCCAGGCGTCCTGAGATGTAGTGGTTGGTTTTCCCTCAATATCCAATACCTCTACATGGGCCCCCAAAGTGAACATCAAGAAACATGGGCTGGTTTTGAATCTTAGGTTGAAGAGATTGCCTGAGGATTCTTCCTCTTAAATAGCATCAGAAATACCACCCTATTACGACATTAAGTCCGTATCAAACATACATATGTATATTATATATATATATATTGTATTTGCGCATTGGTTCTATCACATTTTTTTATTGGGTCAAAGCTAATGGTTGGTTATAGCCATATCCTGCACTGCCCACTGCTTTGGATTGTCACCCTAGGGCTCACCGCTGAGTCCAAGCATCAAACTCTTTGCATCCCTTGACTGAAAAAAGGTCCTGGCGCCCACAAAGGGAGAGACGTAGCTAAAATAAAGGGTGCCGGAAAATCAAACATGTGGATGATGAAGCACGGGACTGAAAAACATGCGCTTTCATGATGTTGAAGCTTTATGATGACCAGGCCTGAAACCAAGTAAATGATGCTGACCATTGCGAATCTCCAATAAACATTGCGGGTATGAAAGCGATGACTTCCACAATCGAATCACTGAAACAACCATATCAATCCCATATTCCCCCCGTCATGGGAAGATTATGGGAATGAAGGTCCCATCATTGGGGTTCCCTATAAATTAAAGATCTCCATGGAAATAGTCCCTACCTAAGCTCATCTAGGCCCATCATGCTTCAAACAGCCAGGAAAAAAAACTTGGTGTCTCCCATATCTTGAGCCATGACCCCTAAAGCTAGTCCATTGTAAAACCTCACTTTTCTATACTTGTCTGGATATTCACTATAGTAAGTTCCAAAAACCACGAGAAGTAGTTTATCACTACCTTAGCCTAGGATTTGTTTTTCCCTTTTTTTTGTGGCGCCGTTTTTTCTTGAAACTTGTCCGCTTCCATGGGCTGCCAGGACCAGGAGACTCTCCTCGGGAGCCCCTTGTGGCACAGCCTCACAGCCAGCCACAGCCTCCTGAGTTCCATAGCGAGATTTTCACTGAAACCCGGGAATTTTGCCAGTTTCGGGGAGAACATCTAAATCTACAGGAAAGTTTCCTCAGGCACCAAATCGCTATGAATGGTGGTAGGTGCATGGAAAAATTGTTTCGCCGCACATCTGGTGATAAATTCCACATCGAAACTATGACCCCCAAAATGGCAACCACTAACAAAAGTACTCGTGTCACTGATCAGTTGGCAACTCTATCCGTAGATCATTCATCCTGCTGTTGGCGGCCCAATGGGCTATGTGAACCTAATGCCGAAAGAAAACATCCCAAATGGTCTCCGGGATGAAGGTTATTACATGTCATTATGACACCCCCAACCCTCTGTCCCTGTACTCTGGTTGATGTGATGCCCGATATCATCACGTAGTAAACCACCCAGGGGGTCGGGCCTACACAGACACAGACGGTCTTGACCCGGCAACCCCAAGTCTAGTCATCCGTTTGTCACCCACGTCTGATAGCAAATTGTGCTTAAATCAATCGAAATCCATCGAAGTCCGGGGAGAAGGATCAAAAAAAAACATTTTTAGGCATCAAAAAAAAACATTTTTAGCAGAGATCAAAAAAAACATTAATAGGGATCAAAAAACACATTTTTTGGAGACAATTTGTGAGAAGGGTAGGGGTTGCGCTCATTCCAGGCGAGATCAAAAAAAAACATTTTTAGGGATCAAAAAAAACATTACTGAAAAAAGGCAAAAAGGACAGTAGGTTTACAAATGCGCATGCTTGGCCTTTTGGGGGAAAAAGTGTGGAGGAGTTTCGGGAGGAGTGCGCGCCGCCTCTCCCCCAAAGCAGCTTCCCCTATAGACACGGCGACATCCACGCAGCAAAAGACACGAGGTTTTGCAGCTTCCCCTATAGACACGGCGACATCCACGCAGCAAAAAACACGAGGTTTTGCAGCTTCCCCTATAGACACGGCGACATCCACGGAGCAAAAGACACGAGGTTTTGCAGCTTCCCCTATAGACACGGCGACATCCACGGACCAAAAGACACTAGGTGTTGCAGCTTCCCCTATAGACACGGCGACATCCACGGAGCAAAAGACACTAGGTGTTGCAGCTTCCCCTATAGACACGGCGACATCCACGCAGCAAAAGACACGAGGTTTTGCAGCTTCCCCTATAGACACGGCGATAGCCACGGAGCAAAAGACACTAGGTGTTGCAGCTTCCCTTGGTGACATCCACGGAGCAAAAGTCACGAGGTTTTGCAGCTTCCCCTATAGACACGGCGACATCCACGCAGCAAAAGACACGAGGTTTTGCAGCTTCCCCTATAGACACGGTGACATCCACGGAGCAAAAGACACGAGGTTTTGCAGCTTCCCCTATAGACACGGCGACATCCACGAAGCAAAAGACACTAGGTGTTGCAGCTTCCCCTATAGACACGGCGACATCCACGGAGCAAAAGACACGAGGTTTTGCAGCTTCCCCTATAGACACGGCGACATCCACGCAGCAAAAGACACGGGGTTTTGCAGCTTCCCCTATAGACACGGCGACAGCCACGGAGCAAAAGACACGAGGTGTTGCAGCTTCCCTTATAGAGACGGCGACATCCACGCAGCAAAAGACACGAGGTTTTATAGGTATGTGTGTGTGACCAAAAAGACATGAAGGAGAGTAGATGTGCAAATGGGCATGCTTAGCAAAGCAGCATGAGCATAGCTATTCTCACATGTATTGCTATCACCTGACTTTGTATGGGTATGTATGTGTGACCAAAAAGACATGAAGGAGAGTAGATGTGCAAATGGGCATGCTTGGCAAAGCAGCATGAGCATAGCTATTCTCACATGTATTGTTATCACCTGACTTTGTATAGGTATGTGTGTGACCAGAAAGACATGAAGGATAGTAGATTTACAAATGCGTATGCTTGGCCTTAGGAAAAAAAAAAAGCGGGAGGGGGGGCTTGGGGGGGAGGGCGCAGCGCCTCCCCCCCAAAGCAGCATGAACATAGCTATTCTCACATGTATTGCTATCACGTGAATTTGTATAGGTATGCGCGTCATCAAAAGTACTTGGAGGATAGTAGATGTACAAATGGGCATGTTTGGCCGGGGAGAGCGTGCACATGTGTAAGCGTGGCTTTCATTTAGAAAAGAAACGGTAGGGTTGCTTGAGGCCGTTTTGAAGCCGGTTGATAGTTCAGACTTCGGTTTGGTTCAGGGTCTATTTTGGGGTTGGTTCAAGTTTCAAGTTTTTACTGAAAACTAGCTTCAAATATACATAGAAATACATATATTCATTGATTGATTTATTTATTTATTTATGTATTTATTCATTATTCACTTCCTTCCTTCCTTCCTTCCTTCCTTCCTTCCTTCCTTCCTTCCTTCCTTCCTTCCGGATCCCTAAAAATGTTTTTTTTGATGCCTAAAAATGTTTTTTTTGAGGCCTACGCCAGCATTGTCACCCACGTCTGATAGCAAATTGTGCTTAAATCATTGAAATCCATCGAAGTCCGTTTACTTAGGACCTAACATTCGAGCTGCTGCTGCAAACGAACCAGTGAAGCCTTTCATCTGTCCATCATTTGTTCATCCATTTCGTCATGTTCCATCCTTTTTGTGAATTTTCACTATGTTTTATTGACAATGCTTTCACTTACTGTGTCATGTTCGAAGTGGGATTTGCTAACACATTTTTTTTTTAAGAACAATATGTTAGTAAAACATATGATTTGTTTACACTTACTAGCTGACATTTTTTTGATTCATGATGTCACTTCGTAAACACCTATGAATTAACTTACAAAGTGGGGCCCCCGTTCGATAGCGTTCAGTTGGTGCAAATAACTCCAATGTCACTATGGTTTATGATATACTTAATTGATACTTATAACTATAGTTACTGGGGTTAATCTAAACCAATTTATATCTGGGGGGCCCCACATTGGCGGCAGCCAAGAACCACTCCACCGGGCCTCCAAGGTCACCAAGTGCCACTGCTTCTGACCACGGGCCAACCACATCCAGCCATGGCTGCACAACCTCGCCATGAAAAAATACAGCTTATATTGAGACACCGGGGATGCTTTAGACATAACGTGACATAACAGTGACATAACATATATATATATACATGATTATATATATATATGTGTGTTCAGTGTATATTCGCATTCTTTACTACTTCCTGTTTTCACCGTGCTTCTTGAAAGTAGTTGACAATATGGTACCACATATATACACGTAAATATGTGTTTTTACATGGGTTTGCCAAGTACACAAACATGGATAAAACAGTCCGATCTCTTCTACGAAACCACAGAAATCACAAAATAGTAACACTGTCTTTTTCTACGTCGAGCCTGTACTCTCTCTTCCAAACTTAGTCGGCCCTGGTCAAAATGGATAGGGCCTATTGTTGAGTTCAAGTCTTACTGATTTTGAAAGAATCAAATATTTTGGTCACATCTCATTGCTAGCTGCCGTTCTACCTATTGTTTTTTCGTTTATACTAATGTACGGTATATCTACCCGCATTTGGCTCATGTCATACACGTACCCCCAAACATGACCCGATGATGTTTAAACGTTTAGGATCGCTTTAATCTCAAAGAACGCTATGAATTCATAGGTGATTATGGTGATTCTATAGCTATTTCATGCTATTTCTACGCATATCTATTCTTCAATCCCTGTGGCCTCAGTGTTGGCTGTTTTTTTTCCATCGGGCTGCGGGTCAATGTGGGCAGAGGTGCCACTCCCTTCCTCTCCAATGTAGATCCAACGCAGGCTGCGGCACAGTTCCTGAGACGTCACCAAAAGGATGCCGATAGAAATGTGTGCCATGATGAGGTGGTTAGTTCGATGATATTTGGAACAAAGAAACCCAGGTTTCCCACATTTCTATATTTTTTGGTGTTGTTAGAATTTGAACTAGAATTTCCGAACCGTCCCTTTGGACTAAGAGTTATGTAAAGAGAGCGGGTAGTGGTGGGGGGTGGATATTTTTTTTTTGCAATTGCTGTTCAACCAGCTCGAAAATCACTAGATGCACCCTGAAATCACTGCACACTTGAAACAAAAAATATATATATATATTATATATATATTTATTCTTGTTCATAATTGACAATTGAATGTATGCCCATACGATATGGCATGTGTGTGTGTGTCTACAAAATATGTCCAATTCCACCCTGCCTGCAAGAAACATAGGGGTGGTCCTGCAGCAGACAGGGTGGAGGCAAGCATTTCGTTGCAGTTCATGGTGACGGGCTTTGTGCTTTGGCAGACTTGGGATCAGACATTGTTGATGGTTATTGGGCTGCAAGGTTTTGAGACTTGGCTGGTGCAGGGTCACATGATAATAAGATGAACGGGAGATGCAGCGCCAAGCGAGCGTGACCAACGGCAGAGCAAAACCAAGCAACCATTTTGCTGATATGGCGATCATGCGAACCTTGGCCGCCTGGCCTGCTCGCTTCTTCATGGATCTCTTCAAGACTTTCCCGGCCACTATCTTGCTGCAAGCGTAGCTGCGCGGCTTCGGCTTGGCAGTGGGCCGGAATGGGTTCAGGTGGTGAGCCTGCTTCTGATCAATCGCTGCGTTGTGCAGCTTTGCAAAATAAGGAACTGAAGGCGTGACACCATGGGCGCGCCTCATTCAGAAGTCGGGCATAGTTCCTGAACCAGGAGAAGACTTGCTCACATGCAGATGTCTTGGTCTTCTTGAAGCGGTTCGCCAGCCGCCGCACCTGCAGGATATTGTGCTTGCAGGTCTTCTTGTGCTTCAGGGCATGGAACTTGTCAACAGCCCAGTACTTGATCTGTCTGAGCTTGCCATTTCCAGACGCACACGGTACAAAGGCACACACTCGATCCATCACAAATCCATCACATTGCTTATTGCTTGTAGAGCGGAATCATCTTCTCCAAGGACATCTCGGCGACGTCATTGCTCTCTGGTTGCTTCATGCAGGATACACCGAGCACACGCAAATCTTATGGATTGATAAGGATGAACCAGCCATGGCCATATGGTTTGGCCTTTTCATTCTTATTGCGAGGGCATCCCTGGTGAGTATGATCAGAGCCGCATGTCATGTGCACCTTGGCATGACCATCACCAACAAGATCCTTGACTTTGTTCTTGTTCTTTGGTGTGTAGACCTTGGTCTGAAGCTATGCATCGTAAGCTAACAAAAACTTCTCAGAGATATCCTGACCAATGATGATGTTTGTGTGCAGTCTCAAAGGATAGAGCTCTTGAATGTCGAGCCAATACATGATGGCACCGGTGAATTCGGGCTATATATGGAGTGTTCTTACATATATGATCACAAAATCATCTTAGCTAAGAAAAGCTGGGTATGCAATCAATACTGGCCATCGTACGATTGGTTTTACACTGTAGACCGACTGCAATAAAGCACCCCAGTGACACACCATTTTGGGGGCCATTAAAACATATAAACATCATCCCAATGCTGGGCTGGTCAAGTATGAAACGATATGAAACGCAATTCAATCCATTCTCCTTATCCCTTCCCCCATCTGCCCCCTATCCCTTCATATCCCCACCAAAAACCCTTGTTTTTTTTTGGGGGGTGGCTATACATTTTGGGGGCTCATGTCACAGGAATTCGCTATATGTAAGGTTTGAAGAGTGAAGAGATAACATCAATCTTTACCACGTAAACTCCCTCTCAAATCTGCATCAAAGCCCCATGAAATCATCAACTTATAGATTCTGCGACATGTTCCGACTAAATGTTGGGATGCTCTATTATGCTAAAATACCAAACATGATATGTATTATGGCTGATTAGTGTTTGAGCCAACCCCCGTGGGCAGGTCATTGAATCGCATTCTTGGGGATCATCATCCTATGTCTGTGGCTAAATCTTCAGCAGTTAATACACCTTGTGTATCCTCATGATATTCCCATGTCAGATTCTTAAATCCTCATGAAATTGTTATTTTCTTATTCTGTAGTGTAAGTTCCATTAAAACACAATTTTCCAACGAGATATCCCGTATATTTTGATGGTTATCCCGATATTTGATGGTTGGTTACCCCAACTCACATGATGTCTCCGGTGGAATCCCCATGTTGAACCCAGTTTCGTGCTGTTCTCCGAGTTCGTCTTTGAAAATGCAGCGTGCAAATGGCACCTGTGACGCGCCAGATTTTGGGCATAGTTTGTTGCTATTTTTTCGGCATGATTGAATCTCAATGCGAGATACCCCTATGACCCACGCCATTTTGGTCAAACTTGTTTACTTGAAAGGAATGAAGCACTGACATTGCGGATCCAAACATTGGTGCAATAATTTTGAAACCTCCATGTTTTTTTCATGATTGAACCATCCGCATGTAGCATCGTGTATTTTGAGCCACTACCAACAAGGGTCAGAAGCATACAAACAGCTACAAACTGGCTCGAAGTTTTATCGGAGATACTTGGCGGAAGGTAAGGAACGTAAGATATAAATATCTTTGGATGTTTATATGTGTTTATATGTGTTTAAGTTATATATATATATAATCACATTTGCCTAAAAAGAAAGGTAGATACATATGTTTGGAGCACAGGTGATGTGTGAGTGTTTTTCACCAACCTGGCTGAGATGTATAACACCGGCACTGTAGTCCTTCCGAAGAGCACAGCAACATACGGGCAAACCACTGATGCCTTAAATTGCATCATCCAAGTAACATAAAAAGCCGAGTCAAGTGAAGTGCATGACTTCAACAATGTGGTGATGGTCATCAATTACAACAAATCACACCCCCAATTCTGCACATATCCAGTAGGTATGCAACTCTCTATCTATCCCCATGTATGCGTATATATAATTATATATATACACACACACACGCAATCCCACTTTCACATAGTTGTGTAACATCTAAATGCCAGAAATTCAAGGCAACTTGGAATATGTTCTTTGCCACCGTCAAAGATCCACTGGTCAAACAACTCAAGTAGCATTACTATCATGTGTTTGGGAAACTCATTTCGTAGCTTCAACTGGCTCCACATTTTTTCAAATAGGGAATTTGGATACCCCAACCATCCCCGACCACTCAGCTCACCGCTCCCTCTACCATGGGATAGATATTACTGGTCCACATCTGCATCAAAGAAACTGATCCCAGCTCCGAATTCAAGCCGTCTGACCAGTCTGCTCCACCTCTCGTCCAGTCATCCGCATCATACCTGAGAAAAAAACACATGGCTGCGCCACAACGCGCGGGAAATGCGTCAAGTTCAAAAGTTGCACAGTACTCTCCAGTGTCCTCGGACATGGCTGGGAAATTATCCAAAAATGGGTGGACATGGAGGTTTATCATTGGGAATATCATCGAACTAAAATAGAAGATGTTGCATTGCCATGTTTGATGACAGGAGGATAATTCCCATGGATAGACTCTCCTGCAAGCTCTGTTTTGCGGAACTTGGATGATCCAAGATATATCTCACGTTTCTGTGTTCTCCTGGTGTATTCACGTTCCCGCATTTATACCCAGCTGTGCTGAAAAAACAAAACGCCCAAAGACTACACATGATCAACCACCCATCCAGCTGGTTTACTTTTTCGGTTGGATCTGGTTACATCATGTTACATCCCCAGTGTCTCTACATATTTTTGTTTCTTACATCCTATTACTACTAAAATCTCCGCATTTCTTTGTTTGTCAAAACGTTCCGCATGAATCTCCGTGCCACATCCCACGCTAATGGGAAGTTGTGTCAAGAAACTCCCAAGCTCCCAGGTACATTGCCAGTCCATCCTCTGCCAAGGCTCCCAATGCTTCACGCCTGGAGTCCGATCCATATGGAGCTATAGTCATCAACAGGGATAACATCCGGGATACCCTCTGGTCAACATACAAAAAGCTATTGAAAATGGCCATTGAAATAGTGGATTTATCCAGTAATAGCATGGTGATTTTCCAGTTCGCTATGTTAGTTTACCAGAGGGTAACCAATATGAATATGGTGGTTCTTTTTGGGACTTCATGGGGATCTAAGATGATTTAACTCATTTAACCATCCAAAATGGGCACGATAACTTTTTGGCGAACGAGATATTGATGACTACTAGTAGGGGTAAGTAAGCCATAGACTTCTTTCAGATCAGTGAAATATGAAATGAATTGCCCAGATAATTTCATTAATCATCCTGAAGTAGATTAGACTATTGCATGTTTAAATACCTTCCCGTTCTGCAGGACGTAAATCTTTATATAGAGAGAGGCTCAATCTGGGCCAGAGAAAGCATGGGCAAAGCTCATCATAAACTTGATTGATGTACATACATACATACATACATACATACATACATACATACATACATACATACATACATACATTACATACATACATACATACATACATACATACATTACATACATACATTACATACATTACATACATTACGTACATTACGTACATTACGTACATTACGTACATTACGTACATTACGTACATTACGTACATTACATACATTACATACATTACATACATTACATACATTACATACATTACATACATTACATACATTACATACATTATATACATTACATACATTACATACATACCATACCATACCATAACATAACATAACATTACATTACATTACATACATTACATATATTACATACAGTACATAGATTACATACATTACATACATTACATATAATACATTACATACATTACATTACATTACATTACATTACATTCCTTTACATTACTTTACTTTACTTACATACATACATACATACATTACATACATTACATACATTACATACATTACATACATTACATACATTACATACATTACATACATTACATACATTACATACATACATACATACATACATACATACATACATACTTACATTACATTACATTACATTACATTACAATACATTACATTACATTACATTACATTACATACATTACATACATTACATTACATTACATTACATAACATTACATTACATTACATTAAATTACATTACATTACATTACATACATACCATACCATACCATACCATACCATTACATTACATTACATACATACATACATTACATACATACATACATACATACATACATACATACATACAAACATACATACATACATACATGCCATACCAGACCATACCATACCATACCATTACATTACATTGCATTGCATTGCATTACATTACATACATACATACATATGTGATCATATATGTGTATATAGGTACGATATATGATATGTATATATATATATACAGTAATATATATATATGTAGCAATCCAGCAGTTCAACAGCTAAAGTAAAGCCATTTTGGGATAGTTACCCCTACCAACCAGCATTTCCAGTGATGTCGCAGGGAGGGCACTATAACTTTATCCATCCACCTGTCTCGGGTATCACACCAAATTGAAGACAAAGCTGCAGAATATATTAGGATATTATCCCATCGCCCTAATACTAAACATTACACATAACATTACCTGTTTTTCCCACATATGTGTAAATCCTCTACTCGGCTATGGTTTCTGGGGGGGGTGTTTGCGCCTCTTTTTACGCTTTTTCTCCGCGGAATGGCTATGTTAGTCATAACCAAAGGGTAAATCAGTTTGTCTGAAAATGGCCCAGGTTTTTGCTTCACTTGAGCCAAGAGAGGTTGCATGAAGGCCCTGCGAACCACGGCGCTGCTGAGTCTAGAATACGCTTGGTTCAAAGTGTACATGCATCACTTCTTTGGAAATGAAGTACATGCGCCACGGACCCGCATGTTATGTGAAATAAAGCAGCAATTTGAGGTGGTTAGATGGGCCATGGGATTAGCGATTCCTGGTTAGTAAATGGGGATTTGTTACCCCCTAACAATCCCAATTTGTTTATCCATTTAGTAGTTAACTATAACTCCATGGCCCATCTAAGTGGTTTTCCAACAGGTTTTCCAACAAACCCAAATGTAGGGCGGTCACAACTGGCACCTGCGCAATGTTCTCAGCGCCTCCATAGGTGTCATGGGACACGACATTCCTGGGATGTCCATGGACGACCAAGCAAAAATTCCTCCATTTATGGAAGATTTTGCCATGAAAACCTACATCTATCTGGGTAAATTAAAATATTTCACTAACCTGAATCTTGCGGCCATTTGGGGATGATTTCCCTTATTAACCATGATTCCCAGTGAGGTTGCAGTGAGGTCGTTATAATTTACCCACATCTATGAGATTTTCCATGGCCATGTTTGATTACAAAAGGGTGATAAAGTAGATGTTTAGAGCAGGTTTTTACTACGACATACTACAACTATATCAGACTATCCGACTATCTTTATTATGGCTCACAAATAATATGAAACGTGAGTACACAGTACAAAGTCACCCATCCAAGGTGTCTTAATGTTCTTTGAACATCACATCCGGATAAATTACAAAGAATTCACGAACATCATTCCAGTACCAGTTCGTAAGGGTTTGGTTACAATTTATCCAGATATAAATCCAAGCCCGCTCCAAAGACTTACGCAGCCTCTTTTTTTGCCTTTTTCTGGCAACTGCACTGACCAAGCTGCACCATCTGTGGCTTTTCCGGGCTTTCCTGAGCGACTGACAGGGGGCTTTGACGGTGCAATGTGGCTTTGACCATTGAACATGTGTTCACCACCAACAATGAGGGTTTACCCGACCACAATGAGCAAATAAAACACAAACATTGATCATAACTCAAGGATAGCGCTCATTTAACAACCATATACCATATATGCAAATAAAACGCACACACTAGACAAGGAAGGATCATTATAGTGATCCGGCAGGAACTGAGTCCTGAAACGTGCAAACCAGCCTAGACAATTAGCAGGTACGTGACAAAGGCGTCCCTTCGTCATATCACAGCAAATGATGAAGCGTCTTCGTTGAGTGGTGACTTCATCATTGCTCACCACTCCCCTGCATTACTATAATTAAACAGGGAGAGGACAGAAGGAAGAAAAAAAGAGAGAAGTTTTACATCTATTCAGATGTTACACACACATATATATATATATTGTTATATAAATAAAAATATTTATATATATATATACACATACAAGCTTAATCCAAATAAAATCTTATCGTCCCAAAGTTTTCACCCAGGCTTCAGGGCACCCAAATGGACTATAGCCAGGGACTACAGAACCACAACATGCTACCACCTATAAGGGAGAATCCGTCCGCCACAACATCCTTCAACCACAAATTCTTACCCGGCATGAAAGAATAACATAGCTGGTTGACAACATCCTTCAACCACAAATTCTTACCCGGCATGAAAGAATAACATAGCTGGTTGGTGGTTTCAACCCCTCTGAAACATATGAAAGTCAGTTGGGATGATTATTCCTAATATAAGGAAAAATAAAAAATGTTCCAAACCACCAACCAGACAATATGCATTGAGACAGCTAATATCACCTTATCCTGTTTCCTGGAGCCACATCCCACAACAAGTTCTTCCCCCAACTAACATGCCGTTGCAGTACCACCGAAGATGTCCAAATATAGAGAACTATCGGCATTAAGACATCCAACTCAATGATCTCAGTTTGTACTTAGTGTCAGCAACCTGGATTGATACATCTCTTCTTGACATTTTTTGGGGACCATGTTCAAGATGATTTACAGTACAAATTTTGAGGGTACCGCACCAAAAAAATCTTGGTCTGGCAATCTAGGGTTTACCTTGCAGTATGCCTTGTTATTTTCCCAAGGGGTTATGGAGAGCTAGCAAAAGGTTAGCGTATACAGTATCCCTTAAATATCCTTCAATCCCTTTTATTTGTCCCAGCATGTCTGAATTCTTTGTTTTTCTTTGTAGTCTATCCTTCTTGGCTGACCCGCTTGCCCTGTTTATAAATGTGATCATGTTTCAATATGTTTCACGATCTACTTACAACACAGATGAACCATCTCAAATCCTTACTTTGACATGCTCAAATCCCTGCAGAAGGCTAGGTTTTGTCTATACTTTTTTACAACCCCTTCATGTTTATATAATTGAATGCAGCCATCCTTTTCCCCATAATCTCAAATACCAAACAACCCGCTTCTGAATGTATTAGTATGGGATCATTCATGCGTTCTCTGCGGAATTCGATAGTACAAACTAATATCATATATATATTCATATATGAGATCAACATCAATTATATATTCATATGTTTTTTATCCAAAAAATAAGCTAAGCCATAACCTATAATGTCAACCCTGGATTAACAATTAAACCCCTAAGCTGTTTAATTGGGAGGGAACCATTTATAAGTATCAGATAATGACTATTGGAGGAGTAACCCCCTTAATTCATAAACCATGGTTTAGCAAAATCCGGGGTTGACATGATCTGCATGTCATGTTCCTCCCCAGTTTACTTAGATGGGCCATGGAGTTAGTTAACTAGTTAGTAAATGGATTACAATTGGGATGTAGGGGGTAACAAATCCCCAGTTGCTAACCAGGAATCGCGTTTTTCCCATGGCCCATCTAACTTCTGCCGAGCATCTCAACAGGCCGGCGCCTCCCTCCACCAGGCGTCCCCACAAAATCACCGAGATCCGCGGCCGGGAACGGCGGTCTCCGCGGGGAACGCAGTGCTGAAAGGCCGAGTTCACCGGTTCGGTGAAGGCGAAGACGTCACCGTTGGATTGGGGAAAGGCGAATTCCAAGCCGGTCCTGGTCGGAGTTCGCCAGATCACAGAAATCATAAATGGGTAACCATAGTTATAACTGCTATAGCCCATTGGATCATCCGAACTTAATAAAAGCAGATAGTAACATGTAGTAACATGTAGTAACATGTAGTAACCATAGTAAGTTAGCCATTGAAAAATGTGATACTGATCTGATGCAGGAATCATCACGCCTAATGAGTGGTTTAGTAACCATAGTCATAGATGTGAAACATGATTGGAAACGAGATCAGGTAGGCTTTGCAACAAGCCGGTCCTGGAGAGAGAAATTGGGGATCCGGACTTACCGGGTATCTAACATGGTGGGGATTTCAGCTGAAATCCCAAACAACATATGCACAAAGTGAAAAAAAAACGCAGGGCCAGTCCAGTCCTTGCAAAAATGAACTTCTCCAAAACTTGAGGGCTTTACATCCAGGCTTTGGCCATGCTTCAATGGGAACAATCACTAATCATAGGATGGAATCGTGCACCCCAGCTTCATCAAGTTTGAATCTGTTCCCTCAAGGTCGACTTCGAATTCCCATGTTCTATGCCGTTCAAGAAAACATGTCATGCTGCCATCTCCTTCTTTTAACCAGTCAAATCACCAAAATCAAAGTGTCGTAGCCTGTGGACAAGTTGGTTTATACCCAAGCTAGCTAGGAGTTTTAAAGTGGTGCATATATCCTTGGATGGGTTTATGGCCCTCCAAGAGGTCGCCACCAAGAAGTGAGGCCACCAGGGGGTCTTTAACCACCAACAACCCAAAGTCACATCAATGTTGGTAAAGCAATAGGGTTTATGGATGGGATCCAAACCATCAAAATATGGGTGGTTTTTGCCATTGCTTTACTAACGTTAGGGGTTAATCACACTCCTATATTGATCAAAGGGTGGGGGTTCTTCTGGCGGGGGCACCCCGGGGCACTTCCACCCACCTCTGAACCAGCCAAGCAACTCCAAATGTTTGAAGCGAAGCTCCCTGGAATCGCCCAGACTAACACCCACTGTCACTTCGTGCGCAGCGGCATCCGTGGTTTTCGCTCCGTTTTGGGCCATGCGGTTGCCCTCCGCTTTGTAGTTGTCCTTGGTGAAGAAAATGTGGCACCCCAATGGGTTGAAACCCAAACTAGTTGACAACGTATGGCTGCAACATCTTGCAACTACATATTCACCCGACCCCAACTTGGGTTGAAGGTAATCTACTGTAATTAACTGAGGTAGGTCAAAATCTTGGTTCCCACGACAGGGCTTCAGCACTTCAGCCAGATGTCGCGGTGGTAGTCTGTCCAGTCATCACCATCCGCATAAAGATTCACAATGGAATAGCCAACCTCAATGTGGTGCCCCTGAGTTGAGCAACCCCCCCGAAAACAGAACAATGTGAATCATCACTATTTTAGTCGGATTTTACTTTTCCATCTTTTTCGGCGTGACTATTTTGATATTTCGACCATAAACCTAAACAGTTTGTGGAGTTCTAAACCAACTCAGCGGTTCCGAACTGGGGTACCTCCAGGTGCCAAGCATTTTGAGTGGGTCATATTTGGTGTGACATGTGTTTTTTATTTCGGGATTTCACATGCGGTCGTACGATGTATTGCGATGGGCCCAACCTGTGGAATCAAAACCCCCTCGTGGAAACGCATCCTGGGGGACTTCGATCCTGGCAGTTTGAACCAAAGAAATCCAGAAATGTGACCCATCGAATCCAATCCGTTTAAGGGTTAGAACACCTCAAACGGGAACAAGGTGATGATTCCTGGTGGTTTTAACCCACCACGTCCAACCAGTATCATCTCTGTTCACTTGTTCATCGCAATTGGCTATATACGGCTGTATATCTTCCCAATTTGGAATTGCAACCCATAAAAAGTTGTTGTATATATACACTCCTCACTGGTAAAAATACCTTGCATGAACCCTAGTTGACAAGTTGCTGTATGTTTCCGAACTTAGCACAAGAACTGGGGCATCACCTTGCAATACATACCAGCACATCCACTTTATATCCTCTTTATATCCCCATTATATCCAGATCATATCCCTGTTATATCCGCATATTATCTCCATGTACCCTCTTCATAGCTGTTTTAGGGTTGATTTTCCATGTCAAAAATCTGGTGAAATCGTAATTCTTCATCATTTTTCTGGGTTAAACCATGTTAAACCAGCATTTTCCTCTGGTTTTTCAACCATTCCCCAAAGGTATCCCCATGTTTCGGCCCATCCCCCCGACTCCGGGTACTCCGGGTACGTACTCCGGGTGCCAAGGCTCGGCGATGCCAAAGAGATTGCGCAGCTGCGCCACGATGCGGCCTTCAAATGGGAAACAAAGAACGTACGGAGAACAGTTATGGCCATGGCTATTACTTATAACTGGTTATTTCAATGGGATTCTACATTCTATAAATGGGGTATAGTACTTATAACATCTTATAACTGGTTATAAATCCCAGATGCTCCATGGTGCTGGAAGATTTACCTACATTTACCCCAAAAATGGCCCAAATGTAGGTAAATATTCCATACATGGAGCATCTGGGAATGGGATTATACATTCTATATATGGGCTTTTCTTCGTACTTATAACTGGTCTAACTCGGGCCATAACTGTACTTGGTGGTTCCAACGAATCGTAGGCAGGTTATAGTTTGTTAGCGCACTCCAGTTATAAGTGTATGAAACCCTTATCCCACTGGATGAACCAGGGATATAACCTACCTATATAGTAAGTGGGATGAGGCACCGTACCCTCCAGTAAATTAACAGTTCGACCCTGCCATCGGGTCTGGAAGATTAGTCTCCACCGAAAATGGGTGAAGGGTAAATTGACCCCCAAGAACTTCGTGGTACAGCAGCAGTGTAGCAGAATTTTGGCCAACACCATGTGTAAAGTATCTGCAGATATTTCATGATATGGCTATGAGTCAAAACCTAGTAGGTCACCTAAGTCATAGCTGGCCAATGAAAGGCTATTCCCTTAATATGGTAGTAATAAAGGGTAATAGGTTCTGACCCATCCCCATATAGCAATATTGTGAGTATATGAGACATCATGCACCAATGAGGTGACCTGAAATGTGCACGAGGGTGATGAACTCAGCTGGGAGCATCCATGGCCAGGATCGAAAATGGAACTGGAAGAGCAGCATCAGGGTGAGCATGAGAAAAAAGTGATGAGCTAGGGAAGTGTCAGTAAGTAACCCTGAAAATTGTAGCCCCAATTCAAAGTAGAGAGGAATAATACTAAATTGGTACCATTGGAAATCTGAGGGTCGGAGAGGGGCTTCTCTAGTTGGGCGGTCGCACCGTTGTCGGAGGGGAAAACCACCTATATAATTGACTCTAGTATTGCCCCAAGATCGGGGGCGGGAAGGCCTCATCTAATAGAAGTGGTTTTGTTAATCCCACCTTGTCATTACTCATTTTCACACAAACAGACCCAAATCTCATAGAGTTCTATATATCCCCTGACCTTCCCATAAATTGCTGATCCCCCCAAGACAAAATGAATCGAGTGGCGATAGGTCTTGGAAGCTAAAAGCTGTTTCTCATCCACACAGGCTGGGTGCCTTGAAGTGATGCCAGAGCCAGTGAAGGGCGGGGATCCAGGTCTTTGTGAGGCTCTAGCAATGTTAAATAATGAAATGATCATTAACGATGTTTTTAGTAATGTTTAGTCGTATTTCGAATTATAAGTTCAGCTATGTTATGATTACCGTTATACTAAGCATAACTAAAAAATGCTGCATTGGAAAAAACATGTCGGTCATATAGTGATAAACAAAGCTTTTTGGCAGCCTTTTGGGGTTGCTATAGTCGTGTTGATGTCCAGGCTTCTGTTAGTCCATTGGGACAACTTTTTTCGATGGATTTCCAAGATAGTCTGGCTGTTTTTTTGTTTTAACCACCTTCTGAAACATATTCCATATAAACTATATATAATATATGATACTATATAATATAATTATAAATACATATGTAAAAAAAACATATTGTCATAGGGAGTCACCATCCCATTTTCCCTGGATGAAACATCAATAATATCAACACAATAATATGGTACGAGTACAACATATAGAAACATATCGGAAACCGCCAGCCAGTTATGTCTATCGCTCGTTCTTTTAAATCCAGGAGAACAACAATTCCAGTCCTGGTGGGGTGAAAGAAGCGACTGCAGTTCAAACATGTTTACCAGGTTTTGTTCTTCCTGGTTTCCATCATTCACCTTGGATCTCATGTTTCCATTGCTCACAGTAGGGGCAACTAGCAGTCGCCCATCGCATCAGGTCACTTGGAGCGCTTGTAGGGCGAAGGGTTCCACGGCGATAGCTCTTGATAGAGCTGATGAAAGAGGCTCCTGGGCCGCTGCCAAGACTCTAACGACGTCTGTTGAAACCATGGATTACTGTGATTTTTGTTCGATTAAAACCATGGATTTGAAACATCCAATATGGGGTTTTCCGGGTGTGGGACTAATTGGTCTAGCCGAATTGCGCCAACCTCAAGTGAGTTTTTTGGTAGGGGAAGCCCATGCAAAGCATCATTTTTCATAAGTCATATTTAATGAACGACCGGTGGTTGGGCTTGGCAGATCGAAACCTCCGGAATGTTCCACGAAAAGGAACCAATATAGATAGATATATTTTCTATACCACTAAATATATAAATATAATCGATATTTGTGTATCACATATATATATATATATGTTATATATATATGTTATATATATGTTATATATATATATATGTTATATATATATATATATGTTATATATATATATGTTATATATATATGTTATATATATATATATGTTATATATATGTTATATATATATATATATGTTCTGTATATATATATGTTATATATATATAATCCGAATCATCGGCCAGTGGTTCACAATCAGACTATGAATTTGCTGAAAATGAAATTTAAATACAAAAGGCGTGCATACACACAACATGGAGATCCCCAATGATAGATCTCAACTCTTGTTGATACATGTAACTAATATGTAGTCAGAACTTGAAAGTCGAGATACTAAGTGCATCTATCTAGAGACCTCATCTCATGTCCACTTGTATCGGTCTAGTAGTAATTTTAAAGATATGCGCATTTACGATTCTATGTCCGTATGTGTATATATATATACATGCATACGTATATGTTAGTACCAGCATTTGAATGCATGTAACGCATATGATTAATTACATACATGACATGTATATACATGTATGCCAAGTCCTGTGCAAAGCCCATGGAAAAATCCCAATGCCAGGGATTTGGCCTGACCGAATTTTGCAGCGATTTGCCAGTCTCAAATGGCCGAATGAATACCCTAATGCCATCCAAATCCAAGCTCCAAAAGAGCCATCTGACAGCATCAAGAATCATTGGATGCTTAGGGGAACTCCATGAGAAACCTATGTTTTTCCCCAGCAATTTTGAAGGATGTCCTCCAAATTTCCCTTCCAAGTTTGGCAAAGAATCAGGTCGTCGGCTGTACAAATACAACTGGGCCAGTACACGGCACCACCCTCCGCCAAAGTTCGGAAATCCCACCTCCCAAGTGCAGTTGGGCATCTGGATGTAGCATCTGGTTATGACTGACTAACAGTTTGCCATGGAAAGATCCACCCATTTTATAGCTAGGTAAACCATCTATTTCGATTAGGGCCTTGGCTTCGCTATGGAAGCCAGTCATAACCAGAGGGTAGCTGCAAGATTTTACTGAGCAGAAGCCTTTCTCTCAAATCATCAGCAGTGGGTGCCTTGTAACGTGCTGATAAAACAATACATAAGACAATACATAAGAGTCCAACGGGTTCTTGGTTGTGTATGCTGTATCCACTTCAGATGAGTTAATTGGACCCGTCTTGTTGGGGGCTGAGATCTGATCAATCTCACCATCTTCACAAGGTGTACCACTTATCAACCCGGATTTGAAACGAATAAGCCATGAAATATCATGAATCATCCCTTCATATCCATGAATTAAAAACGATAAACCTTAGTTCTCCTAGTCATAAATCAACCAATGACCAGCACCACCGAAAAGCATGACCCCATGTTCCTCGCCTTAATTTGGGTGTCGTGTGCACACGTGTGGTCTCACCAATCACCGAAGCCAAATCCGCCTGAGCCAAGATGATCTTCCGCGTGTGGTCCAAGAGTCTTGATCACGTGGGGGTCATCATCCCATTAATGTAGGTAAAACAATATTAAACCATCCCCCAAATCACGGTAGATAGGTGGTATAAACCATTCCCAAATGGGTGGTTACCTGGTGGTTTATTATTGTTTTACCCACATTTTTTTCGGATTGCAAAAATAAATGAAACATTTTCACACCACCAGGCGGATAGCATCTTTTATCATGATTCCTTTACATCTGTATCATTGCTGATTACAACTCCGGTGTTTTGGCTGGACATGTAAAAGGTGTTTCCAGGATGGTATGGATAATCGTTACCACACATTTCCAGATTTCCACTCTCTATTTTTTTCTATCTGTTTTGGGGTTTCTATAACCGCTTGAAATCCAATTCGTTGGTGCTCAAACTCAAGCCCCCGCAGTGCAACCACAAAGTTCCTAGTTTTGATGGATTTTGACGACCAAAGTCAGTGTTTAAATGCCCAAGAAACAACGACACCCACTAACATAGTGATAAACAGAACCCTTTACACACGCATGAGGATGCGTTCATGAACATCTCAAAAACAGCACATACAAAACAAACATCTATACAACACAATAAATACACATATATAATGGGACGCAATTTTAGAAGCAATTGCCGGACTTATCGGAGAGCCCTGCTTCTATTTGAAATGGACGTTGCAAACCCCCCAAGTCCCGTTCAAATAGAAGCAATTGGTTTTTCAAGGTCCAAAGCTAAGAATTGCTTCTATTTGAACGAGCCCCTGGAAAATATGCAAAAACACAGCATTTTTGTGAGTTTTGCTGATAAAGTATGATAAATTCCCTGGGAAATTGACAAGAATTGTACACTTTTGTGCCAAAATGTGCAAAAAACCATGCGTTTTCAACTCGTTTTGAACTTTTGACTCAATGTTTGACCACAAATGAATATGATCCCTCTCTAAACTGTGCAGTGTGCAGCATTGCAAGGCAGGTTGAGCACGACCAATGTTTTCCATATTGGGCAAAGACAAGGAGACCCAAACGAGACAGTGTTTTGCAGTTTGGATGTTTCTCTAAGGTCTCCACTTCAAAGCAGTCCAATCAAATAGAAGCTATAGGATATGGCATTGCTTCTATTTGAACGAGCCCCTCGAAAACATACAAAAACATTGCATTTTTGTGAGTTTTGCTGAAAAACTATGATAATTTCTCTGGGAAACATGTTTTTGGGGAATTTCGTAGTATTTTCCAGGAAAAATGCCTCTCCAGTACCAGCTCCCGTTCAGATAGAAGCAATTGTTAGTGAATCGGTCTGTTTTACCAATTGCTTCTATTTGAAACGGACTCGGCTACATATGGACTTGGGCCTGCTTCTATTTGAAAAAAATATTTAATATCTTCTAAAATAGCGTCCTGTAATATAATTTGATTAAACACAACACAACTCCATAATAACAGCATCTCTTTCCCTCCTCCTTTGTAACGAGGCCTTGTTCTGACACGACAGGATCCCTTGGGCGCGGTTTGGATGGAAGAGATCCGCGGCGAACTGTGCCCCCAACGCTCGCGGATCCACTACGAGGCAGCTAGCGCTGCTGGGTAATGCGGGCTGGGTACCTCGACGCGACGGTAAGCGGTTTCGAAAAGGGTGGTAGAACACATGTTGAATCGGAGACAAGTTGATAATAGTTGATTTCGACAAATTAAAGATATTAAAGTCAGGATTGAAAACCTGCAAAATCAGGTTTGAAGAAGAACCATGCAGATTTATATATTTTACAGTAATTATAATCGATATAGAGGTAATGTGGCAAAGATAACTAGGCGATCGGATGGATTCATGGTGGGTAGATCTACATATTGGTGTTGTGAACCATCCTGTAACTGGCGGGCGCATTCTTCTCTGGTTTGCCCTAATCAAATGGGTTTGCCAACAATAAATCATCCGCAATATTGCCATAGATGGGTGGTAAAAAAAAAACGTAGATTTATGATCGGGTTTGTCCTTTGGGAAGTTTTGGTGACCATTATTGTCCTGAATGACTTCCAATGGCAGTGAATTCTCACACCTTAGGGTTACTCGTCTCGTGAAACTGTGCCCTGACCGCAAAAGGAACGATGAGTCATGTCCAGCCCACAGAAAATCTTGGAAACCCTTTGTATAGGTCATCATTTGATGCCTTTGTTTAAAGAACTTTATATAGACATTTTTTTCACTGCAGGAAAATCTTAGATCTGATGCAAATTTTGTCTTGGAGGGTGGCCAAGTTGAGACATGCAAACACTGATTTGGTGATCAGTGCCTGGGAATGGGGTGAACTTGGCCCTGCCTGCATTGGGAAGAGCTCTATTTAGAAAGGCTTATGTTGACATAAAAAAACAGCAAACAGTGTGTTTTTTATTGTTTAGCTTTTCTTAGTGTTCTTTATATTTTGTTCAACGTTTGTTTAGTGTTGTGTAGGGGGAGTGAGGCCACCAGTAAAACCTATAGAAATCCAAAGCAACCGTGCATTAATGATTCGATGTTCGATGTAGCTTATAAGTTTTCATTGGCAATAGTGTGAGATGTTCAGGGGGTAGTCCATCAACAACATGCAATAATTTGTTGAATCATGTTGAATCAACAGGAGGGATTCGGAAGAGCGGACAGCAGGGAAGTGATGGACATCCCTTATTGAGGTGTTACGATCTTCAGACTGGGACAAAGCAGGGGCATAAGGAACATACTAGAACTAGTCTGTTGAATTTAGTGGAATTTACATGTCTATAGTGGACTTTGGTGGGTTTTACATTTCAAAAGATGTTGTTAGTTGTAGATATTGCAGTGCATTTTGCAAAGAACCTATCAAATGAAGAGGTTAACGCAGGGTTTGTATGAGAAAAAACAGACGTCGCTTGGATGAACCCTGGGACATTAACTAGACATCATTGAACATACAAGGCCCTTAGTCTGGAAACATGTTGATCCCCTCCAAAAGGCCCAGCCACATGGCAGTGGGCCATACAAAAGCTCCTGGTCTGCAGAATTTCCATCGCTATCCCCGTGGGTCTCTCTCTCGGTGCTTTGCCTCAAGGAAGTTCGGAACCCGGGGCTTGGGACAAGGCGGATTTCACCAGCAAAAACGGGTCTCGCTGGTTAAAAAAATGAAGATCTAAGCAACAAATTGGATTTAGCCTCTGGCGCTGAACAAAATCGCAGTATCTTCTTCTCAGAAAATAAAGAAACACGCGCATATGTATATATATATATGCATACATATATATATTTTTGCTGGGGCTTCACAATATATGTAAATATATATATATATAATCGTATATGTGAAAGGGATTTCTCCCCTTCCCACTGGTAGCCCAAGAATCCACAATCCCTGATTGCAAAGAAATGAAGTGGTCCCACCAACTGAAATGTAAAAGGAAGATCCCTGTCTTCTCACCACATGAAATCCGCAGCTCTGCCAGTATTTTCCTCCCAGGAATGGCTCTCGGCAAAGGTTTTGGTGTCCGACACCAAGGAAAACCACAGCCCACCCACCGCAAGGCCTTTGTACCATAAGGCCACGGAACATGCTGACTATGCAGGACTTGACATGCAGTCACATCAAGGTAACATCAGGGTGGACAAGTTACATACAAATCACACTCCCTTAATTTTCTTTTGATGTGACATTGGTCTTGGAAGATACGTCGGTTTGAGCTTTCATCCAACGTACGGCTTGTTTCTTATGGGCATTTTTCTCCAGGGATTCGGCTTCATCATATAGCTGAAATTTTCCAGAGGCTAGGACTTGGCGAAGCAATACAGGATCCATCGGTTTTGTAAGGGCATCGGCTACTTGAAGGGAAGTTGGAATCCATCTGAAAACGCAGTGTTCTTGGCAGCGTTCACGAATTAACAAAACTTCCAGAGTAGTACGAAATTCTTCACAAGAAGGCATCGCTGTGCGGCTAACTAAGTCATAAAGGCTTTTACAGTCAGTGACTATGGTAGCACTTGGGAGCATCTGGAATCCCCGAATCGGTTCCCTCCAACAAAAGTCAGGGACATTGAGGGTGCCCCACAAGAGTCTCATCCAACCAAGACGGTCTACACTGCCAGACATGGAAAAGGCCTCAGCGGAAAGAGTTGAACGGACAACTCTCGCAATCTTCTTTGAAGTCCAAGTCAACGGACTCACAGGTGCCAACTGATTCCTATTTAAATTTGGAGTCGTAGCACAAATAAGAGTTCCTTGGAAAGAGGCAAGTTGTTTTGCACTAGCAAAAGAGGCATCACCAAAACTGACATGGGTAAGTTGGTCAACAGGAATACTACGAAAACACAAACGAACATCACTGGTTTCTTGAGCTTCACGAAGTACTTTATTGGCTAACAACAATGTTTGAACAGTGGCTTTGGAAATCTGTACCTGAACTTCTCCAAGTTTGGCAGCCATGTCGGGTCTGGTATGGGTCACAGCATATTGAAGGCTTCCTATGACACCTCGAAGCTTGCTAAGTTCCACTTTGTTCACCGGGGAGTCAGGGGTCTGTCTCCGTGGTCGACCAATGTCGATGGCGGGAATATTTTTGACATATTCTTGTTGTGAAGCTAGAATACTGTTATCGGGAAGCTGTTCCAAATGGATACCGGTGAAGACAAACTTACGTTGCTTAAAGGAACCAAAAGGTAAAACTTTCTTCAGGGCATCTAGCTGGTCATGAAAGAACTGGTCACCGCCACAAACTCCATCGTCCACATGAGTCCCAAGGACACCGTGTAAAACACGGTCCTGGCCACTGCCAGTCTCCAACATGAAAACACAAGGTTCAAGCGGATGTCTGATAAATTGGAGTTTCTGCAATTGTTTGTTGAGTTCCTGATAGAATAGTAAAGGGGCATCGACTCTGCCATAGGCATTTCCCACTAGGGCACACACTTGATCAGATGAAAGGCCTAATTTCCTGCGAAGTTCAACTGGAGGCTCCATGGCAAGTGGGTTGTTACTGTCGGACTGTCCACGCAAGAAAGCAGTTTTGATATCGAAGGATGACAAGGTCCAACCTCGAGAGGCAACTGTTTGTAAGATGGTGTGACGACCCTCTCTGGTTAATGTGGGACTGTCACGCGCGACTTCACAAAGTTTGGGGTCTTGGAATCCTAAGACAACTAACCGAGCTTTGGCTTTTCTCTGAGGAAGTTCGGGATTTTCTTCATTGATGGACTTCCAAGTTAACACCCATCTCGATTTGAGGATTTGTTCGGGGTTAAGCTTCTTTCGGAGAATAGGCTTCAAGGCACTGGTTTGAATCCAACAGTTCAGCTCTGCATCCTTAGCTTTCTCAAACAAAAGCTTTTCTTCTAAATTCAAGTTCTTGATGCAGACTTCCGCACGAGCACGTTTGCTCACACTTGCGAGCCAAGCCATTTCTTCGGGCTTGTCGGCAGCGGCCCACCGATGGACATCATTATCACTTAAATCGATGGACAAGGCAAAGCACTGTTGTTCTTCACATTCAAGAGGATTATCAATCATGGGAAGTCCATCATCGGCCAGCAGTACATCTTGTGTGGTTTCTCCAGGATCAAACTGTGTCCATTCATATACGGAGGAGTCCAGGGCACTGCAATGCAAAATGGGCATGGCATTTTCTGGACGATCGCCATCCAGCTCTTCTGAAGCGTCCAGGTCATGTGACTCTTCATCCTGTGGGGGATCTTCAACTGGTTCGGCTATTTCATCCGTTGGAAGTTGGTTACTCGGATCAGGAAAAAGTTCACTTTCGGGTTGCACTGAAGAGTGAGGGGTTATTGATTGACTGTGAATGATGGGATTTGGAATGTCTGGTGCAATGCTTGGTTCATAAGGTTCGGAAGGAACAGGTGTTGTGGGATTTTTGTTCTCTGTTTCAAGTGGGGCAATCTCCGGAATCCAAGAAGAGTCATGACCATACATAGTGTTCCACTCTCGCAATGACGCAGGACGCAAACTTTCAGGAGAGCATTTGAATAACCGGTCAGCATGAGTGATCCACACAGCAGACTGGCTTTCTTGCAAAACTACCTTAGCTGGACCATGCCAACGCCCGGCTTCTTGACGACTGGCACGGTGTCGTTTCAACCAGTACATGACAAGTTGACCAGGTTCAAAAGGACCTCTCGTGGGACATGAACGTCTGAGGAGGGCTCTGCGAATGGCTTGATCATTGTCAGTCATCAGGAAGGATTTTCTGGCGATGGTACGAGTTTCCAACAGGCGGCGAAAGCTCTCACTTTCTGGTTCATTTCCAACAGCCACAGTGTGGGTCAAGGCATTGTCATCAGAGGCAAGACTGCCTGGAAGGCGTAAAGACTTGCCCAACACAATTTGTTCAGGTGAATATCCATGTTGACGAGTGAGGGCGTTCTTTGCCTGGAAACAGGCCAGCAAAACGCGATCAAACTCTAGTTCATTCTCAATTGGTCTTTCAAGATCACAGCGTGATAGCATCCTTTTCAGACTTTGGCCATGACGTTCAACGCGGCCGCGTTGCCAGGCTTCAGGGGTCACTAGGGGCTGGGTTGCTCGATTGCGCAACAGATCTTTCCATTCGAAAGAAATGAATTCACCTGCTGGGTCCGTATAGAGTTGAACAGGATCCCCGGCCCATGAAGTCCAAAAATTGGTCCATGTGTCAATCACTTGATCAGGGTTTCGTGTTTCACAACGGCGGCCCAAATGAAACAGTGAAGCCTCATCAATGCAGTGGAAGACATGAACACGAAAACCACGACTGCCAGACCAGTAGAAACCATCTAAACCAACGAGATCGTTGAAGTCTCGGGCTTCGTGAAGCTTGGCAGGACGCTGATGCTTTCGACCAACTGATTCTGCACAGGCATCGCAAACGAATTCACGTGCAGCTTCTACCACGTGTGGA